AAAAAATTTCAATTGTACCAGGGCACAATGTAATCCCTGCAACTTGGGAGACTGAGGCAGACTGAGGCAGACTGAGATCAGGTTTGGAACTTGGCCAGACCCTGTCTCAGAAAAAAGTAAAGAAGGCTGGGGATGTAGCTCATTGGTAGAGCACCAATCCCCAGTACCTGAAATTTKTTTTCAGTTGTAAATTCTGATTCCCTTAAGTATCCCCAAGTAGTAAGTGGTAAATAATGAGTTTGTTACTTGGGGCACTATCTTTCTGAATTGGATCAAAGTTACTAAAATGTAATTAATTTTATTACATAAAATATCTTTCATTGTTGCTTCTTTGTAGATACATTTAATAGATGGAGAAAGGTCATCATCCCCCACCCCACCCCCCAAAAAAAGCCCCAAAAACTTAAAATTCAGATGAAGGCAGAAAAAAAATACAAAACAAGTGTTTTGAGTATTTCTCTCATTTTAACCTGAACTTTGTGTATATCTCTGGGTTTGACTGTGGAATCAATCCTACCTTACCCCTAAATACACATGTTCAAAATGAGACCTTCCAAAAAAAGAATATAAGAGCTGAAAGAAAAAACTACATATTAAATACTTGCTCTGCTACATAACCAAAATGTTTCCTTTTCTAATGTATTCGCTTGAGTTCAAAGGAATGTTAAAATTTCCTATGATTTTTATTCCTAAAACACAACATACTARTACTGAGCAAGGTGGTATCATCACAAAGAAATGATCAAAGGACTTCAATTGACAGTCCTCAAAGATGCAATACAAATGACTAATAATGCTCAACATTATTAGCCTTAGAAAAACATAAATCAAAGTCACAATGAGATCACTTCATACTCTCTAGGATATGGCTACTTTTAAAAAAAGGAATATAAATGTTGGTAAGAATATAGATATTGGAACCCTTGAGCATTGCTTGTGGGAATGTAAAATGGTGCAGTTTCTGCAGAAAATAGAGTGGCTCAGAACATTAAACAGAATTACCAAATGACCCAGCTATTCCACTCCTGCCTATATACTCCCCACAAAATTGGAAAAAATTAATCAGATACTTGTACACTAATGTTCATTAAAAAGTAAAAAGTTGGAAAACAACCCAAGTGTACAGTAACACATGAATGGATAAATACAATGTGGTATAGCCATATAATGGAATATTATTCATCCATAAAAAGGAATGAAGTTCCCATACTGCTGCACAACATAGACGAACTTTGCCAGCATTCTGCTTAGTAAAGTAAGCCAGTCACTAAAGGACAAATATTGTATGATTCCACTTATATGAGGTAGCTAGAGTAGTCAAATTCAAAGTCAGAAAATAGAATGGTGGTTGCCAAGGACTGGAGGTGTGAGGAATGGAGTGATTGTTTATTGAGTAGTTTCTGTTGGAGATTAATTAGAAAGTTCTAGAAACAGTAGCGATGGTTGCACAACCTTATGAATTTACAGAAGGCCTTTGAATCATATACTTCAAAATGGCTAAAAGGACCAATCTGATGTGTAYTTTTGCCAAGAAAAATACATACGGGGAGTCACAACTTTTAGAAATTCTGGGGTGCATGGGAGAGGACAAAAAAAAAAAACACACTCTCAATGCAAAGCACCGGTGATGTAAGGGTGCGGCAGAGACGGGTAGTTTGTTCAACCAGGTCAGCCGGCAGCTTTCTGACTTCAAAGCTGCGTCGATCTGAAATATCAAGAGCTAATAAGTTGCCGCCCTACCCTATTTCCGTTTGTGACCAAGAATATCTTTCCCTTGAGAGGTTCTCAAGTTTTGATTTTAAATATATTCTAAAGGTGCTCATTGTATTTACTTCTATCATCTTTAATATTTCAACTCGAACATCTTTCTGTCCCCAGTTCTGTCGGGGGACAAAAACAAAAAACAAAAACAAAAAAAAACACCACCCCTCGCATTTCTGAGACATCACACCCCCAATCGCACTGCGGATGTGAACCGGCTCKTCGGTGCCTGGAATGGCTTCTTGTTTCTGGTGAAGTAAAGGTCAGGGTGAATTTTGTTCACGAGTCACATTAACGCCCAAATATCGTCACCGCCACTAAAACCTGGGCCTAGGACAGAGGGCGGCWCTCAGAAGCAGGTCTCCCAACACCCAACTCCACAAGTAGGGTTCCTCACCCTCTGAAACGGATACAAGGTCTGTTAAGTCTCTGGGCCGCTCCAAAGGATTCTGGGAACTAGGGGAGGGATCAAGGAGCACAAACGAAAATGTTGGCTTAGGGCGTGCAGCCGATAGCTGTAGGATTATCAGCCAGTTGCTGCGCACCTTCTCAAATCTTCCGAGCACCACCACCACTTCTCCAACAGTAGGCCCGTGCCCGGCTCTGCCTTGTCAGCCAATCATCGGGCTGGTGCTTGTCCATACCGGCCAATCCGGAACACGTTTACTTTGAGCGGGAAAAGCTCAGAAGCTGCAGGAAAGCGAGGTCGGCTAACCGCCCCTTCTTAGCCCTGTCTCCGGCGGGTAACAGCCCCTGGAGGCGGGTGCCCATTGGCTAGGCAGCGGGCCAATGAGGGGTGCAGGGTGAGAAGTGGGCCTCACAGGAGGGGGCGGGGCGCGGCCGGCCGGTGCGGGGTCGCGTGCCGGGTCGCGAGCCAGGGGCAAGCAATGTAACGGCCTCTTCCCCGCCCCACCCTCCCGGCTCCAGCCCCCCCACAGACCGGCTCCAGGCAGCGCCCGGGGCGGCAGCGGTGGGGCGCAGGCTGAGGGAGCCGGGCCTCGACGCCCTCCCTCACCCCGTACCCCAGGAGCCCTACCTAGTCCAGGAGGGGCTGGGGGGTCCCCATGGAGGTGAGAGACGGAGACACCTGCCCTCCCCCTCACCCCCAAGGCCTGAGGGAGGGATTTGAGGTGGTGACGGGCCGGGCTCCCGGGGACGTGGGGGCGGCCAGGCTTGGAGGTTGGCGACGGCRGGAGAAGCTGACGGGCTGGCGCGTCCCCAAGTGTGGTTCTTTAAGGAGGCTGGGACCACCGGGAGAGGGTGGGTCGCTTGTGAGGAGCACCGACGGGGCGCCGGGTSGGTGCCGGCGAGCGGGATGGGGGTCCGGGCGACAGGGTTGGCCGGGGCGAGGAGTCCCTGCGTGGGCTGAGTGGACTGGCAGACTGGGTCCGGGGTCGCTACGATGCCCTGGCGGGGCCCTGGTGGTGACCTAGCGCTGACGCCTTGAACCCGTCGGGTGGCACAGACGCTGGGGCAGGCTGGCGTCGTGGGCCTGTGAGGGTTGTCGGTGCGGCGCTGCGGGGCTGGCACCCAAGGGGTGGGAGGGTGAGGGGGAATCCTGGGGACAAGCTGGGGCACCGAATTCGTGTTCCTTGAGAGCGTTTGGAATTGAGTTAGTTCAAGAATCCAGATGGAACAGTCATCTGGCCGTTTAGGTCCTGGCTTTGCGCTGCGTGATGACTTTCTCCCATGTCCTTGTTTTCTGCAGCCTAAAGTAGCGTTCCGTGGAGGTGCGAATCGCTGCTGGAACCTCACTGTCGACACCAGCAGCAGATTATCTGATGTATTCAACAGCGTGATGTTGACTGGCTCCACTTCCTTCTATGATTGCTACAAATCGCAGGTCCATTAATAACCCCAACCCTTGGTTAGACAATTCATTCTAAATCAAATTCATGCACCCAGGATGATTCATGGGTGTTTAAATGGCTCCACAGTTAGGATCAGAAAGCCGGTTACAACATTTTAAATATGCAGAATACATACTTAGGTGTCTATTTTTTTTTTTTTTTTTAATATAAGCAGGGATTGAACCCAGGGCATTTTGCCACAGAGACACATCCTAGCCAGTTTTATTTTTTCTTGCTAAATTGCTTAGGGCCTCTGAGCTGGCTTTGATTTTGCGATCTCCTGCCTCAGCCTCCCAAGCTGTTGGGGTTTACCGTGCAGAGTTCCTACTTAACTTTGAAAATAAGGTCAGGAATAAGATTTTTTATTGTCTTGTCTTCAGTATAACATGACATCAGAAATGAGTTCATACTTATTAAGACCAAAGTATACATTTTTAATTTCAAAGAATTTATTGCAGGGCTAGGGTTGTGGCTCAGTGATAGAATGCTCGCCTAGCACGTGTCAAGCATTGGGTTCGAGCCTCAGCCCCATATAAAAATGAAATAAAGATATGTGTGTCCACCAACAATAAAAATAATGTATTGCAAATATATTTCTCATTTCAAACATAGTTTTAATCATTTAAAGGTGAATTTTTCTTTATTCTTTGGTTTTGACAGTGTTCTTAGTTAAATGCTATGACATTTATTTTTGTTAATGTATTAAATAAGGCTTAGGGTAATATAAGTCATGTTCATTTGAAATTATTTAACTGGGACATCAATGTTGGTATTGTTATACTTTGAATTATAACAATATATCAAAATTATTTAACCCACATTACAACTTTATATAGTATTATGCCCACTGTACAGATTGAGAAACTGAGGCACAGAGATTTTTGTCCTAAATGACAAACCCCAAGTGGAACCTAGCTCCAGACTTCTGCTGCTCTCTGTAAAGTTTACAATTCTATTAAATTTTACTAGGATTTAATTTCTTTTTTTTTCTTTTTTCTTTTTTTTTAAAGAAAGAGTGAGAGAGAGGGAGAAAGAGGGAGAGAGAGAGAGAACTTTAATATTTATTTTTCAGTATTTGGCGGACACAGCATCTTTGTCTGTATGTGGTGCTGAGGATCGAACCCGGGCCGCATGCATGGCAGGCGAGCGCGCTACCACCTGAGCCACATCCCCAGCCCCAGGATTTAATTTCAATGAACTATTTGAAGTATATCAGTGATATAAAGTGATACATTTTACAGTTATCCTAATATGTCCACCCCAAATATTTACATATTTTTAGTAAATATTTTAACTGAAAAGGATTCAGATATTTCAAATAGAATTATGTTTAAATCCACATTATCTTATTTGCTTGTTTTATCCAAGAATACAAAAATTAAATATTCTTTTAAAAGGATTTAACTTTTTTTTTAATATTTTTTAGTTTTCGGCGGACACACAATATCTTTGTATGTGGTGCTGAGGATTGAACCCAGGCCGCACGCATGCCAGGCGAGCGCTCTACTGCTTGAGCCACATCCCCAGCCCCAAAGATTTAACTTTTCTAACTTTCAGAACTTATATACTCCTCTCCCCTCCCTCCTTTTTTGGAGGTGTTGGGCTCAAACCCAGAGCCTTGTGTGTGTTAAGCACACGCTTTACCACTGAACTAAATCCCCAGCCCCAGAATGTTTCACAATATAAAATGTACTTGAAGGAATACTTACAAAATATATTTAATTCCATACAGCTAAAATATGTTAAGGAATTAACTCAAGGCCAATCACAAGATAAGCACACATAAGTGTAGCTATCATTATTATTGTTATCATTGCCATATTTATAAGCCCACTTTAACAAAACTTCATTTCTGCTAATTATATATATATATATATATATATATATATTAGTGTTTGGAAATATATATATATATAAATATATATATATATATATTTCCAAACACTTTTTATCTTATTTGCTATTACACAAACTGAAGATGCTCCATTTGTTTAAACAACTATTCATATTTACTTGTTTGTCTTTTTTTTTGTTCATTCATTCATTCATTTGCAGAACTGCAGATTGAACCCAGGGGAGCACTCTACCACTTCTTGGCCCTCCCCGCTTTTTTTTTGATGCAGGTTCTTGCTCACTTGGTGAGACTTGCCTCTTACTTTTGGTACTCCTGCCTCAGCATCACTAGGGATTATAAGTGTGCACCTGTACCTGACCCATTTTTAAGTTAAAAAACATTTTTTTAGGGCTGGGGATGTGGCTCAAGCGGTAGCGCGCTCGCCTGCCATGCATGCGGCCCGGGTTCGATCCTCAGCACCACATACCAACAAAGATGTTGTGTCTGCCGAGAACTAAAAAATAAATATTAAAAAAAAATTTTTCAAAAAAAAAAACAAAACATTTTTTTAAAAGATGTAAGAAGAACCCAAGGCCTTGCTCATGCTAGGCTAAGCAAGCACTCTACCAGGGAGCTACTTCCCTAACACTTAAGTAACTGTTTCAAAATGATAAGCAAGTATTTATGTCACTTTTGACAAATAACCACTTAAAAAGATTCCAAATAGGCCTATGATAAAGAGATAAAGGAGTTTAGTTGTAGTTGGACACAATATCTTTAGTTTTATTTATTTTTAATATTTATTTCTTAGTTGTAGTTGGACATGGTACCTGTTTTTAAAAAATATTTTTTAGTTGTAGTTGGACACAATACCTTTATTTCACTTATTTATTTTTAATGTGGTGCTGAGGATTGAACCCAGGGTCTCGAATGTGCAAGGCAATTGCTTTACCACTGAGCCACAACCCCAGCCCCACAATACCTTTTTTTTTTTTTTWA